TCTCTCTCTCTCTCTCTCTCTCTCTCTCTCTCTCTCTCTCTCTCTCACACACACACACACACACACATTCACACACACTACATGTAAAAAATAGAATTTGCATAATTCCTGACCAAGCTGAAAAACATCCACTGGACTTGCCTTAAACTCACTTTCAGGGTGCCCAGCAAAAGATGCACCATCACAATAGCGTATCTTGACTTTGTTCCAGTTAAAGAAATCTGAAGATACCCAAAATGATCCAATAAAAGTCCTTTGTTGATTAAATAAGAATAAGAGTGTAGATGCCTATCCAAATCCTAAAGCAAGCATTGATCATATCTAACTAACATGAAAAACAAGAATTCAAAGGCTTAAAAAAGAAATACTGACAATTAAATACTTAACTCTGAGAGGGGTGAACAACACCTTGTATCTATATGGTTATGGGGCCTAAGGATTAAAGGATATATGAAGTAGAAAGCCAGAAATTCTTCTATTATGTGGGCCCCAGCAAATGCTGTCATTTTGTGAGTTCTTAATTCAACAGTGGCAAAATGAAAGTCCAACCAGAATATGACATGTTCCAACAATAAACAAGATACTTGCCTTCATAAGAACCAGCTACAATGGTTAGGTTATTGCAGTTCAGGAAGAAACTATTGTTGGCCAATATCTGTCCATATGAAAGCAAAATTGATGATAAATTGCTGCAAACATCAGTAGGGGTATTCTTTGTTTTTTACTCTTCGCAAAATACTAAAATGAGGCAGCAAAATACCAAGACTCATGCTAGTTTTTTATTCCACCTTCTTACAAATCTAGTGTGCTTAAGAAGGATAAGTTTTCAAATTTTCAGCTGCGCGGTATTCATAACATTTTCAGTGGTACATAAAATGAATAGGCCTTGCATGCATATGTACATAGATACAAATATGCATATGTAGATATATCCTCACAAGCATAGATGCTGCATATATAGATGTATGATTGCCAGCATTCATACATAGATGAGAAAAGCACACTTAACCATGATATACTGTTGTCACACCAGAACAATTGAAAACTATATGTGAATAAGTTCAGCACTTGTAAACATCAATGTGTAAGGATTCAAAATTTTCACAATTTTGTTCGAGAGAGAGAGAGAGAGAGAGGACTACAAGAATATGAAAATTTATTAACAAGGAAAAGAACACAAGGCATGCCAATTACAAAATTTTCAATAACAAGTCATGGGAATCTACTTAGCATGATTACCAAGATTTTGTGACAATTCTTGGGTCAAAATTCCAGAAAATCGAACTTGACCATCCATATATCTTGAAGAACCTAATTCAGTTCTCTTACGAGAAGAACACGATTTTCTGTGTACCTCCTCTCAACATTCTCTCTCTCAATTATATAATTCTACAAAATTGTCAACTTCATAAATACTACTAGCATTATGAGATGGATCTAAATTTCCCTCAAACAAAAACAAGCATCCTTCATAATTACTGCAAAGAAGTATTACACATCCCAATTTGATTTAAACTATTAACAAATCTGATATTTAAGCTTGCAACTGGAGTCAATTTTATGTAAATATTAGAGACCAAATGAAAATTATGAAAATAGATTCTTAGCTGATTTTGAATCTAAATACATCAACATGAAAAAAAAATTACAGGAAATTCTCAACTATAACCAAAATTTGACACTTAAATCCCGATCAACCATCAATGTCTTCGTGTGCCTAATTGAACTTGGGTTTGAGTATACATCAATACAGTAAAGTCATAAATATTAGTAAATCATTGATACCAGAGATGTTCTTCAGATGATAATAGTTGGAACTTATAAAAGCAAAAAGATCAAAGTGAATGTGATTTTATTGAAAAGACAGCAGACCAAAAATAGCAAGTGAAAAGATTAAAAAAAAAATTCCACTGCAGAGAGGCCAGATCGAAGATCTGATTGAGCAATAGAGAGAGAGAGAGAGAGAGAGAGAGAGAGAGAGAGAGAGAAGACCTGAGGGATGGTAGTGACGGGAGGGCCAGACTTGAGGAAGAGCTTCAACAGGTAGAGCGCATCCAACGCCATCGCGCTCGAGCTTTCTTGGAACAGCCTATCATTTCATCAGCTGGTTTCCTCTTGCTCCGACTTGATCGGTCTCAGTCCCTGTCTCAATCCCGATGATCTTGATCCTTCTTCACTCCTCGGTCTCGTAACCCCACAGATTTGTGCAACTTAACCGAACCATTTTCCTCTGTAAAATCATCAGAATCAGAATCAAGGAAAACAAAAAAAAAACCATCAAGAAATTTCAATCAAATTGATGCAAG